TAGTCCTAGTCCACTAGAAGCTCACGTGCCAGAACAAGATACGGCACCCTGGGAACAAGGAGCTGGCAGCCAGGGATCCGTTTCTGCCTTGTTCAAGGGGGATTGCAGAACGGAGCAAAGTGCCAAGGAGGGGCCGCTGGGGCAGGGGGAGCGAGCTCGGCAGAGGCAAATCAGAGGGCTTTTTTCCAGCTGCCTTCGCAGAGCAGCAAACATTGTCCTTTGCCAAAGCTAACAGAGCTTTTTTCCTGCATTGGCTCTACGGAGATTTCTGACGGACAAAGCGTGCTAAGAGGAGCCCTCTCAAGCTGACCCTGAGAGGACGTCAAGGCAGCCCAGAACATACCAAGCTGCCATTTTGCCAGGAGGTTGCTAGCCAGGTGCTATCCAGGTAGCCCTTGGCTAGCAACAAACGGGTGGATCAGAGTGAGCGCAGTAGCCAGGTTCAGATTTTACCCACCCCTCCATGCCAGGTCCGGGTTTTGGGAAGCCCTTTGATGGGACACTCACAGTGCCCGCCCTTCAAGTTGGTCCTCCTCCTCACTGTTGTCACAGCCACTGCGGCCCACTCGCCTTCCCTTTCCCTCAAGACCCCGTCCAAGTAACTGCCTGGAGGAGGTTACTAGACCTCATGACTCCTGCCACTGCTTGCATGGCCAGAGAGGGCGCAGGAGCGGCAGAGGGTCAGAAGACTCAGCGGTGGGGCAGGGCAGCCTGGCAGGGCTGGTGCCTGGGGCCGTCCCTGCAGGCATGGCAGTCCTGGGTCACGTCCAAGGAGCTCCCTCACCTATGAAAAGCTCTCTATTTAATAGACATTACTTGGCAATTCATGCATTCCTATATCCATAAATCTGTGAATAACAGTCTCAGGAAGAATGCAGCTCAGTGGATGTCAGAGGATCATTAGAAGAATTAAAGCTTATTCCAAGAGGTGGCTTTTACTGGCATTCCTGTTGAGATAATTTAGCTGGAGGAGTGTGCCTGGGTGATGTGAGGCCACTGCGGGGTCGTGGGAGTGCCAGCTGGGGCTGAGGAAAGCTGGGCTGCGTTTTTCTGCTCAGCCATGGAGCTTACAAGATGACCTGTACCTCAGCCAAGGCCTACCTCTTAGGGCTGTTGTGAAGATAACGGGGTGAGGACCGTGAGCACTGCCCTGAGTAACTTGCAGAAAGGCTAGGATGAAAATATAACCAGGCAAAAGGGCAGGAGGGCCATAATCAGCTCTGTCTCTGCACAGGGAGTGGCCAAGTACTTGTAGTTAAAACATTCCTTGCTGGTCCCACACCAGCCCCGGCATCCTCCTGGGACAAGCTCAAGAAACGGAGCTGCATCCACGCACGCTGCACGGCATCCTTGTGGGGCGTCAAAGACTGTACTTGTTTAAGCCGGCATGCACTTAGAAACGCGGAAGCAAAGCGAGCCAGAAGGGGCCTCCCGAGCCAGCTAGTCTGACCCTGGCTCCAGCCGGCTCCACTCATGTAACCCCCCAGCAGGTGGTTGCGCAATCTTTCCTTGAACATCCTAACGGATGGGGCCTCAGCCACCTCCCCTGGAAGCCCATTCCATACCCGAGAGGTCCTAACCATCAGGAAGTACTTCCACTGGAACGCATCCTGCCCTCCACTGCAGGGAAGAACAGGCCTTGGCCCTCCTCCACATGGCGCCCCCTCACATACCTCTGTCGCTGGAAGATCCCCTCGGAGTCTCCCCTTCCCCAGGCCGAAAAGACCCCGTTCCCCCCATCTCTCCTCCTATGCCATCCCTCCCAACCCGGCTTCCACTCCTGTGCCCCTGCGCTGAGCCGATTCCAACCTAGCTCTGTCTCTCCTGTAATGTGGAGCCCAGAACGGGTCGTGTTACTCCAGCTGTGGGTGCACCAGAGTCGAGCAGAGCAGAATCAACACCTCCCTGGATCGGGAAGCCTCACTTGTAGCAATGCAGCCAAGGACTTCACTGGGCAAAGCGTGTGGGATGCCGCACTCTCTTCCTCCTGGAGGTTCGTGCCCTCATGATGCATCACATTTGGTCTGTCTTTGCTTTGTGTGGCAAGAATCAATGGGGTTGTGGCTCATGGAACAGGAGGATCATTGCTTGGCTCAGCACAGAAATAACAGCCACTCGGGCAGGGCAGAAATTCCCCATCTCTCCAGCAGCTTCTGCCTTGCAAACCCGAAATTCATGGTGGACTAGAGACCTGAACTCACAAGCCTAAAAAGATGCAGCAATTCACATGCATCCCGGTAATCCTACTGACAATCCCGTAACACATCCTTCCCCAACCAGGTAAGGGTGTTGACCTGCAGCCCCCATCAGCCGCAGCTAACGTGGCCAGCACCATATATTTATTATTTATTTATTTATTTAGGAAATGTCTATGCCGCCCCATTCATCGAAGCCTCACGGTGGCTTACAAATAAATCAATTAAAATACTATAAATTAACAATCTAAAACAAGTTAACAGTATAAAATAAGTCGCCCTGGCCCACGAATAAAATAAATAAATACCATTAACATTAACCATTAAAAGTTGGGAGTTGCATTCCAATACATCTGGGGGCATTCGACTGGGTAAAACTCCTATCAGGCGAAACCTTTATTATTACAGTAACTTTAATGTTCTTGCTGCATCTCTTATCCCAAAACTGGGTTCTGAGGTCACTCAGGGTGTTCAGGGCCAAGCGGCGATTAATAGGGACTCCTCACCCACGCACTTAACCCTTTAAGCCTCACACACAACCCTCGAGCTCGAGATACCAGGTAGACCTCCAGCTTGAGCTTCAACGAACATTGACAGATGCACATCTCCACATTCTCCAAAACATGCACACTTTGAAAATCGAAGCCAGCCCATCACACGCCAGCCCCGTCCCCGCACCGCTTAATGTATCTTGCTGATCCCTGCATTTCGGTTCTGTGCATTTTCACGGCCGCTCCGGGATCAGGCGGCTCCTCTGTGCTCCCCCCGTGCCATGTGGCATGTGCTAACGTCTTGGCTTCACGCCTGGACAACGGGGGGGGGGGGTGTGCATGTGGCCGTGCTCTGATACCCGGCAGCTGACGTGTTCCATCGGGGCTTGCGGGGGAGGAGGGCACATCAGCAGCCAGCCATGCGCGGTCCATGCTCTGCCCTAGTTTCCTGAGAGGCAGGGTCACGGCTGTGCAAACGGACCCCCGGGGAGATCTAGGTGGGCCGCACGGCACGAGGCTCGGTGGTGAGAAGGGGCAGATCTGGTCTACTTGTGTGCCGTTTTGCCACCGTGACGCAGGGCTTCCTCTGCCCTAGCCTGCCTCCTGCCCCATCCAATAACTGTGCACCCCCCCCCAGCAGCCCCCAGACTTCTCCCTGGCTGAGCACCTCCCCCGCAAGGCTCCTTCGCAGCAGACAGGTGCCCAAGGGCTGGCTCCGAGCCAGGTGGGATCCAAGCAGATCTGTTTTTGACAGCAGTGCTCAGCCCTACCGCCACCGAGAAGACGGGGACGACCTCCCGAGCAGAGCTGGAACGTGCCTGGCCCTGCACAGAATGTCCGCGGCGCACCCCGTCCTTATCCCGTGGGGCCGACAGCCCACGGCACGGGCAGAGGCCCCTGCGGCCCCACAGCCGAGGGGGCCCCCGGGAGCGACGGAGGCCTGGCCCATCCCCGGGCCAGCCGGTCTCTCCCAGGCCAGCCCTGCGCCTCACCCACCCAGCCCGCGGGGGGAGCCCTGCTGCCTGATTCGGCAGGCGGCTTGGTGCAAACACTTCAGAGGCGGCCCAAGCCAAAACATCTCAGGGCATCTCTGTGCCTGGATGCGCAGTGGCCCACGGCTTTCTCTGAAACAGCCTGGCCGGCTGGACCCCATTCGAGCAACCCTGGGCGGGGAGGGGAGGGGAGGGGAGGGGAGGGCGGGGGCACTCCAAGCCCACAGAGAGGAGGAGGCTGAAGCACTCAAGGTGGGGAGGGGGCGTGAGATGGGGGTCAGCTGAGGTGAGCAAATTGTCCAGAGGCGCATGGGACGCCTGCAAATGGGGAGGAAAGCCCCAGGTGGCATGGCGGGGGGGGCAGGGGGGTGGATAAAAGACTGAGGGAGAGGAGAGTGAGCACGGACAGGGAACAAAGATGCAGACCAGCCCTCCCCAACCCAGTGTGCCTTCTAGGTGAATTGCACGGTAACTGCCATCATCCCCATGCTGGTGGGGGATTATGGGACTTGTAGTCCTACACATCCGAGGGGCTCCAGGTTAGAGAAGGCTGATGCAGACAGTACGGAAGGCAGTCAAGAGGTACAGGAAGGGAGGAAGAGGCAACCTGTTGAAGCGTTGCTGCTCTCCCCGTGGGCGCCCAGCTGCTGCTGCAGAGCAGCTCCCATCACTACTGACCCCGCGTGTTGGGCATTGTAGTCCCTGAGGAGCCATGGTGGAGAAAGGTCAGTGCGAGCAAAGGGAGATGGGTGCAGGGGAGGAGAATGTGCGAGACTTCAGCTCCCATCAGCCCTGCCCAGAATGGCTACTGGGCAGGAATGCTGGGATCTGTAGTCCAACACACCTGGAGGGCCCCAGTTTGGTATCGGTTGCTTTGGAGCAGCCTCCATCCACCTGGTCGCTTCAGGTGTGTTCCACTACAAAGCTGCACGGGGGATTCTGGGAGTTTTAGTCCAACGTTGCCAAGGAAGCTGCCTCAGAGCAGTAAAAGCTGGCTGAGAATATTGGCTGAGGGATCTTGGGAAGTGGAGCTGGCTGGGGCATTCTGGGAGTTTTAGTCCAGCATATCCGGAAGGCCACTCCATCAGAGGTGGCTGCTTTAGAGCAAGGCAGGCTGGCCGGGGAACGTTGGCTCGCTGAGCCTGGGAATTTCTGCCCAGCACATTGGAGGGCAGCCAGGTTCGGGGGCCCTCTTGGGGCGACCAGGGAGGAAAGGGACAGAGGACGGACAGACGGACGGAGGGAGCGGAGGAGCCAGTCGGGCCCGCCCTTTTGCCCGCCCCGGCCCGGCCCCGGCCCCGGCCCCGGCCCCCACGGCTGACCTTGTGCAGCTTCCACATGGCTCCCAGCGCCTTGACCTCGTGGCTGGAGTGCTTGCCCTCCTCCAGGCACTGGTAGCAGACGGGCACCTTGCACTGGACGCAGTACATGCTGTGGTTCTCCAGCTCGTGGTCGGTGCAGGTGGAGACCTTGCGCGGGCTGAGCCGGCGGCTGACGCGGCCCTGGGCGGGCGGCACCAGGCGGTGCTTGGCCAGCGGGCCCCGCGGCGGGTGGCAGCGCAGGCGGCAGGGCTCGCAGTAGAAGACGTCGCACTGCTCGCACATGGCGGCGGCCTCGCGCGGCGCCTTCTCGCACAGCTGGCAGCGCAGCGCCGCCGCCTTGCTCTGCTGGTAGCGCTCGATGACGCCCTCGAGCACGCGGTTCTTGGGGAAGCCGCGCAGGCCGCGCTCGTCCAGGATCAGGCTGCGGTGGCACTGCGGGCACGTCAGGCAGGCGTTGCGCGGAACGGGCGCCAGCGAGGCGGCGGGCGGCGGCGGCGGCGGGTGCGGGT